GAGAGCTTATTGCATAAGTGAAAGAAGGTGAGAAAAAAAACCCTGCTAATTCTTGAGTTTTTTTCTTTTTTTTTCTTTTTTGAAATATGTTCTGTTTGTGTCTGTTTCACTGCGATTTTTCCCCAGTCTTGAGGAAAGTCAGTAAATCCCTGCATCTAAGTGCTTTAACAGACAAAAGTTTTTGTTTTTTTCCAAAATATATTGAGGTAAAAAATTAGTCTTTATTAAATTCATATGAAAAAAAAAAAGCTCTTAGGGCTGGCTATTATGGATGTTATGAGCTCCTACTTAGGTGGGAGAAAGCAACTTGGTAAAAGTTCATATCCCAGGCAAGAGAGAGAGAAAATATCGTTCTAATCCAGTGTCGAGAGTACCATTAAAAATTGTGTTCCTTGGTGTTTCAGGAGACATGGAAGTTCTTCCTGGCCTCCTTAACTAGAACTGCCATGGCTTTCAGCAGGCTTGCTCAGAAAAAATGAGTTTGCTTGGCTGGGTCTGACTGTGACTGTCCACCCGCGTATGTCTGTTATTACCAGCAATATTGTAGCTGTTCATACAGGAGTTCAGAGAGGATTGTCAGGATTCAGATGCTAATTTTCAATTATTCCAAGGTGGAAACTGGAAAAAAAAGCTTTGTAAACAGCTGGTTTTCTGCACTGTGATACCAGAGAGCAGGGGGAAGGTCTCCTGCTGTGCCTATGTGCCCAGTGGCAGCTCTGTGTGTACAAGGGTGACCACGGGTGTAAAAGAAAGGGAATGATCCTGCTCTTCCTTGATGCTCCCATTCCTTTCTGCTTGCAGTTCAAGGAGACTGCAGTTCAATGCAGAACACAGCTAAAACCACTAAAACAAAACAAAAAAGCTGCTTTCACCCCCTAGCAAATTCCCAGTCCGCTTTACCCCTGAACCCCATTGGTTTTCTGCCTGAGTAAGGCAAGGCAGACAGGGGAATGAAGAAAGGGCAAGACAGCTTCTTTAGTGGCAGTGCTGCTTTATTGTAGCTTAAACTGTGAAGCCCTGCTCTCGCATTCTGCATCCCCAATCAGTAACAAGAAGTGCCACTTTGGATTTAAATGTCTAAGAACATCTCTTAGAAATAAATATTCAGCACATTAGTTTCTTTCAGTGCACCAGTTCTGTGTGTGGTTTGCTTTGGTTTTTATAATAAATGATCTTGAGAAATAGTTTCCTTTACGTATTTTTTTTTCATGTAACTACTGGATGTTAATGAAAATAACTGTGGCAACCTCTTACTTGTACTCTGTGCCTCCTCTGAATCCTCTTCACAAGGTGCTGATTGTCTGATCTATGCCACTTCTGCTGTACCTTTTTTGTGAACTGCTTTTTACAGGACAACCAGGCAAAGAATGAGGCAGGTCCTTGTTGTGGGATTTAAAATGTGAGACTAAAACTGTATTTACGTCTTACCCACTCACCCCAGAGTAGCATTTAGTGAACCTGTGTAACATGTCTAGTGTCTGCAGTGAATGATCAAATAAACAGGAGATCCAGCGCTGAATCAGCACCTTCTCAAACTTGCAGCCTCATGCAACCTACATAGCCTTTTGCCATCACTCTTAGATGTAAATGTCTGGTGGCTACTGGATATTCTGCATTTCCTCTCTTAAGCTGCTGTTTGCCTTTCTCCTCTTAGGAGGAGATGTTACCAAGCAAAATGTGGATCCATGAGAGTGGGCAGCGCTCCCTTGCAGTGGAGTTATTTAAAATAGCTTGAGTCTTTACATATACACGTGTAGATTTTGTGTAACCTTAGTCTTCATGGCTCATGTTCCATGTAGACAGGAAGAAAAAGTGAGTGACAAGGTGAATATCCACTGCAACCACATGGACAGGAAAAAGTGAAACATCATTTAGGAGAGGAAAAAGAAAAAGAGGCTGTTCCTAGAGAATTTTCTCACCAATAATATGTTCACTGGAGTCTTTTTGCTCCTTTATTGAGACTAATTTGAGAAAGGAAGAATGATGTCAATTGTGTACCTTGCCCTTAAGCAAAACTACCTGACTGTTATTGGGGTTGTGAGCCGAGAAGATTATTGTTCTCCTTCAGAATGTTATTTTAAGCTTTATTTAGAAGGCTTGGGAAGTCAGGGAGCCGAGGGGCATGGGGCTCTCTAGTGTTTTCCTGGAGGACTGTAGCAAGTAAAACACAGCTTTCTGAAGTTTGCTTCTGTAGTGAGGCCTTTTTTTTTTTTTTGGAAAATATTTTGAAATATTTTCATCTTTGAGAAATGGAAGTGTTAAGTGATAGTCTTAAACTGATTTAGTTTGGTGAAAGTTTTAGTTACATGTGGATTTTGGTTTTTAAGAATTAAAGTTCAGCTTCTATAGTGACAATACTGTAGTTGATATTCTAAAGACTTTTACCATCATGAATTTATAACTAAGTGTTAATGCCTGTGGGTTTTTTTCCCAGAATGTGGAGAGATTTAGCACACATGTCAAAACTCGACTTGAATTTTCTCATTTATTTTTGTTCAGCTTGTCAGGATTGCTTTTGAGGAAAAGACATGGTTACCTTTGCTTGACTTCCTTGAATCATTGATCATGAAAGAAAGGGGGCACTTTCTTCCTTGTAGAGCCAAGACTGGCAGATCTTATAATGAATTTAGATGGCACTTGGTATTTCTGGTGATGATGATGATTTGTCTCTTGTAGTAATTTATCTTCATACAAAACTGTCAACTTTCATATCTGTGGAGGTAGCGATTAGGCTTATGTTATTCCAAAGACACACGCAAAACGTATAAAATATAGCATGTGCTTGCTTGTGCACAAATATGCTGAAAAAGAGTGAATTTTATAAATTTTGTAAGTTAAACCTCTTCCAAAGCAGTGAGGAGGAGCACAAAACTTAGACCCCGAAGCTTTATACTTATGTATAAAGCAAACACAGTGTTTGCCCCCTGAAACTGAACTGCACATAGCTCAAAAGGCCCCAGTTCTTTACTTTTCTTTTTTTTCTTTTTTTATTTTTTTTAATTTTTTATTTCCAAGCAGCAGCAACCCAAATAAGCGAAAGAGCTCAGTGGATCTCAGCAAGCTGCACTAAAATCAGCCAGAATCCTGCTGCACGCCCAAGGCTGGCGCTGGAGACGTCACGGACGCAGCAGGTTGCTTTGTGGTCACTTTGAGCTCTAGCAGAGCAGAGGCTTCGTTGCTGGGTTGCTGCTTGTGGAAGACGGCAACATACTTCTGAATAGAGACCTTGTTGTTGCCTATTAGTGGCCACCAACATTTAAAGATCATTAATACTTCCTTTCTAATTTTCTAGCGCATTTTTTTTTGCTGCAGTGATGGAGAATTTTGCTTAGATGATTTCCATGGTAGGACAGTAGAAGGTAGCACTTAGAGCATGAGTGTGTGAGACCAAATGCTGCAGTTCTGCACGGATGATCTCTGTGACACCTATGCTGCAAAAGCAGATTTCTGTCATTTCAGCTGGCTCCCTGCGCATAACTTAAACCAAAAATAAAATAAAATAAATCTTCTTTCTTGAATTTGTGCTCTGTTGTGGACTTTAATGTGTGTGCCTCTGAATGTTTCCATGACTACATATAGGCTCACACATGATTCTTAAGGCTTCAGAGCATTTATTTTGTATGAACCTTTTTAAAAAAGGAAGATCTAAAGGTTTTTGAAGACCTGTTTTCCTTTAGTAGTCTCGCATGGAATAGCAAGTTAATTTGCTGGGATGGCTTAATTAAATATGAGCTGTGTCTAAAAATGTGGCTCAGATTTCACTGTTGATCATTGTGAGTGTCCTTAAAATGATGAAATCCTTCTCACAAAATATATAGGCAATGACTTATTGCTTCAGTAAGTAGTGCAGAGTGGTTATTTCATGGGGCTTTGAGTCACCTTTGGGAAGAGTGACCTATATATGTGAATATCCTTTACATGGCAGACTATGTAGGGAAGTGAGTGGGAAAGATTTTCAGAAATTCTGGTGGTCTTAGGAAAACAAGAAAAATGGTATTTGGGTTGTGTGAGAAAAGGCACTATTAGGAATCTTCTAGGAGCCCAGGACTTCCCAAAGTAAATATTAGTCATTCTGTGGTTGTTTAATTTTTACTTTCCATAATAACATGTCCTCAGTCTGTTGTCAAGATAGCTAAGTCAGCCACCAGATAGGAGGCCTTGCCTGGGAAGGTTACAGCAGTACTCTCTAATTGAACTTATTGGTAACTCTGTGAACTCCTCTTAAATTTCTTCAGCCCCATGCTTAAAATTATTTACTTCTTGTATTGTGCTTCTGTAAAGCATCTTCTGTATGATACCATCTTCTGTAACAAAAGAAAGTGAGAAATAACAATTTACCTGTTTTTTGTTTATTTTTCTCCTGTAGAAAGTTATCCTTCTTGATTGAGTAGCTCTTTTCTGCCCTTATCAAAAACTCCTTTGTTGAGAGTGGTTGCCTGGTTTACTCCTCAGAGCCGTTCCCCTTGGGGTCTTATTTTTGACGTTGAGAGGGGAACAACTGCAGCTTTTTTGCTAGTTTTAGTGTCTTGCTGTACGTTTCTTTTGCTTTAGTATCTAGCACTGATAGATAGCAAGTGCAAAGTTGCTGTCAGGATTAGGTATTTTCTCAAAACTCCCATAGGTACCAGTTTTCCTGCTATAGGTACCTGTTTTTGCTTCATATACAGTATTTCTGTGTAGTTCTTTTCTTCAGACTCATCAGAATACTGGTGGCTTAACGTGCATGGTCTCTGGGTTTCCTTTTATCAAATTCGCTCTCCTTTTTGTAACCAAAACAATAAGAACAAAACCCAAATCCTGTTTCAGTGCATCTGCAGGCTGTAAACGCTTGTGGTCTGGTGCTGATTTAGTTCATGAAGGCTTGAAATCATCAAGTGAAAGTGCAAATTCTTCGTTGTGATCAAGGTTATTCTATCTTTGGCGTGAGAGAGATTTGCTCTTGCTTCATACTGCTTTGACTGCTATGTAAATATTTTTTGTTTATGTGTAGATAAACTGGCATGATGTGGAGCAACAAGTCAAATGAGGTGCCTTTACAAAATCCGAGGCATAACCAAACCAAGGATTCCAGCAGAGGTAACGGTTTGGTCCGTTTTGTTGCTTTGTGTTTTAAAAAAACAAATATAGCTTTCTGACTTTTAACAGATAAAATTTGGAAGCAAAGACCACATGATATTTGGCTTCTTGCAGACATAGCGCTTGCATACTTTGATATGCAGAGTATTAGCTGATCTGCATTAGAAATTCTAATGTCTGCTGTTAAAAAGTATACTTTTTTGGGTTTTTTTTGAATTACTTGGAGGAGGAACAGGAACAGCAACTGGGAGCAGGCACCTCTCGAACGAAGTGTCTGAGTCTAGCTCAGCTCCAAAGCGAAGTGCTCAAGAGCCCAAGGTCCGGAATAGCAGCAGTGCGTGGCCATCATGATGAGAGACCACATTTTTTGCCTCCCAGAGATGGAGGAAGCCTGTTAGCTTCTCTCAGCCATGATTACCCTGTAATTTAGGAAAGAAAAGGAAAAAAAGAAGCATGGAACATCCTTGTGATGAAGACAGCTCTAGTCTGTAGAGCACTTGAGTCACATGTTAACAGTTTGTGGTTCAAGATCGGTCATATGAGCTGCATGATGACAAAACTTGACAGTGGAAGCTATTTTAAAAAATAGATGCATATTTTACCTCTAAAAGCACATTTTCCTGATTGTCTGCCATGAAGCTTCCATTTTCTTTTCATTTTTTTTTTAATTATTAAACACCTTAAGCTGAGGTGCTTTGTACACATTTTGTTCAAACACTGTTTCTCAAAGACACAGCAAAGTTGTTTCTGTGTTATTTCCCTATCTTTCCTCTTCCTTTGCATTGTTGCAACTTACATGAAATACAAATTAGCAACTTAGGGAAGGATTTTATTTATTTATTTATTTATTTTAAGAGCAGTCCTGTACTATTACTCTCCATGTCTCTGATCCACATTAATGTTTTGGATACTGTGTTTGAAAATCTCTTTTTAAGAATGAGGGCAGTCCGGAGTAAGTAAATATTTTTAAAGGAAAGTACTACTGCATACTACTGAACTAGATGGTCCTCTCTGTTTAGATTAAAAGGCTGAAGTTGATTAGTGCCTCCTGCTTGCTTTTGCAAACGATGCTTCTATTTTGTTTGTAATGGGTGCAGTTCAAAAATATTCGAAAAGTTCACGTGCTCAAAGCCTGGCATCTGAGTAGCCTCTTCCATGTGTTCACGCTCACTTTACCGAAGAAGAAAATTAGTCTACATTGTAGTATAATGGAAAAATACAAGATATTTGTGTTGTGGTAGATAACCAGCTTTATGTTATCTTCTAAACATCTTGTAAAGTATGGGGCAGATTTGGCCTCAAGTGTAATAATGCACTTAACCTAATTTAATGAAAACATTACATTTGATATTTAATATTGTTCTTTTAAAATAAATCTTGACTGATAACAGCTTATCGCAGAGGAGAGACACAAGCTGGAATTGAGTCATTAAAAAAGTTTGATTAGTGAGCCTTTGAAAATTGTTTTGAAGCCATTTTTTTCTTTCATTTTTCACATACTAATGAGAAACTTATTCCTGTCTTTCTACTCTAAGATCTAACTGCAGCATGGGCTACTTTTTCTCAGACTAAGGCTGCTGTAAGTACTTTATTTTTTTTCTTTTTTTTCCCTACCCCCTCTCTCCTCCTTTCAGTTAATGTCTACAACCCTTTTAACCAAGGTATTGTTGTGCTCAGTAGGTTGATTTTTAGGTAAGTGGAAAATAGGCAAATTGCTGGAGTACATGGATGTTGGTCATTCTGGTATTTGTATTCTTTTACTTAGTACAATATTGTTTTGCCACTGTAAGCTTAGTCTTGAGTATAATATGGCCTTAGTTTCTATTCAAGGAAGTGTTCTGAGTTCTCATTTTTCTGAAAAAAAAATATATCTTTTTTGCCTGCCTAATACAGTCAGAGATAGTGTCTGTACCAGTGTATTTCACATTCTTGCATGTTACTCTGAGCAATGGTTTGTTGCCTTTCTGTGAGAACTTAACTTAGGTGTTTAAGATAAGCTACTATATTTTCTAAATATTGGCTTCACTGAAGCGAAACTGCTTTGTTTTCTTGGGAATTCGACTTTTTTTTTCATGTACCTTTGTCCCTCTTGATTAAATAGCTGAATATCAGTGTAGGGTTGTACATGTGGAAGCCTGTATCACACTGTTTTGAGAGGAATGTTACAGAATTTATTTCAAGTGGAGTTAATATATCATTGAGGTCGGGCATTAAGACTCTGAATAGCGTGTTAGTATTAATTTCTTCACAACAGGCTACTTATGGAAACACAACTATGCAGCAAAATCTAATGTAGGTAGTCTTTTTAAACTAATCTTTTTAATCCGATGTAATTTCTGGTCATAAGACTGTTTTGCAGTAGCAACATTCAGAAGTTGTTTTCACTTATAGTTTCTTTCTTTATGAAAATGAGGAAAATCTTACCATATTAAAAAAAAAAAGGAAGTTTTAATTTAAAAATTGCTAACATTTTTTTAAACTTTTATTTCCTTTGGTTTCTAGCTACGTCATATAGAGAACAAGCTGGAAATTGTTCCCACCAGCACAGCTGTATTTGATTCCATAATGGATGCCAAGAAGCCCTGTGCTAGCACTAGCAGGAAAATAGGCCGTAAGGGTATGTATTATTTAAGATATAGAATGTAAGGCAGAGTAAAGCCCTGTCCCTCTCCCTCCAGGTTGTCTCCTGTAAATGATCTTTGTTCATGAAGGTCTAATATCCAGAAGAAACTCATTTTTCCTTGCCTTTAGATTGGGAAAAAAATCATGTGCCTTCCAAAGTCTTCCAGCTAAAGGCTGTGTGTGAGCGACCACTGTTTAAACTACTCTGATACCTTGTATTTGTGGCCTTCATGGTAACAGCTCTATGTGCCTGTGTTACGCTGGAGTAACTATTTATATATTCTGATGTTTGTCAACAGTTACAGCCTAGAGAATGCCAGGTCTGTGGTGTTCATAATTTCGTTGTAGAAGAGTATTTGCCTGTAAGAAACTATCATGCTGACTCTGAGGATGCTAGAGTAGTTTGGCATTGGATGAAAACAGAATCACCTCTAATGGCACTAGAGTCAACCTGCATAGGTTACTTAATTAGTTCTGCTTAACCATTACTGTTTCTTTAGAAATATTACCACTTTTTTGAGTATTTACTACCTTATTTTGACTATCTTGAATCTTGAATCCTACTATCTTGGAACTTGATTGTTCAAAGTTCTTCCTAGAGAGGTAAGTCTACAGCAAATTCTTTGGTTTCTGCTTCAGCTTCCCGCTCCTCCGGCCAAAATAAGTCAAGCAAGGAGAAGTCCTCACGCAGCCCTCTTCGAGCAACCACTCTTGAAAGCAACGTAAAGAAAAGCAACCGTGTGGAATTTCGTGAGCCACTGGCTTCGTACAGGTTAGTGCTGGGAGAATTGACTACCAAAGAAAAATATACTAAGACCAGAATTGAACTACTACCAAAGTTTTCTGACAAATCCTGAAAAGCCATTACCTTACCTATGTACGTTGGCAGCATATGGTGTGGATGGAAGTGTTTTTCTTTTCAAAAATGTTACAAATTTTATTTTTTGTACAGTGAATAAGAATTCGAGGTTGATGTTGTGTAAAAGGGGCTGCATCATCCCGTTGACATGGCTGTGGTTTCCGTGGGCTGCTAGGTTTCTTAGGTATTTCGCTTCAGTAACAGCAACTGAAAAGAATATTTCCCTGTGATTTTTTCAGCTTTATTTGATCTGTTTTTCATCATGAGTTCTGAAATGTTTTACCATAAGGCAGTGCAGAGCAAGAGCATTACTAAGGATGCATTCAGGTTTCATTATGCATGTTCGTGTGCAAGAAGCCCCCAAACTAGGTCATCAAATGAGCAAGAACAGCTGGATCAAGGCAGAGAATCATACAGGCCATAGATGGTGGGGGCGAGGAATGGAGAAAACTACAGCAAGCCTATTTTACTTAGCCTGTGTTAGCACCATAGGGAATGCAAGATACCTTGAAAGTGTGGGGTGTTTTTTTTGCTTGTTTGTTTTTAAAGACTTATTGCAGAATTAAACTGATTATAATTGCTGTGATATCAGAGCATAGAGGGCTGTAACGTCTTCACTCCTTGTGTTTTATCAGCAGTATATGTTTTTCACACGGGCTTTATCCTCAATGAATAGCTGTATTGGGTTGGTAATGGATTTTTGATTAATTCTATCCTATACTTAGCATTTTGTTAGAAATGTACTCTTGGTAAAGTCAAATTGCTGCTGACCGATTTGCAGTGGAATTGAGGCAGTGATTTTTTTTAAATTCCTCTATATATCTATTAAAATATCTGTTGTCCTTGCACTTCCCAACTCGGTGGGACAGGGGATGAATTTGGGATTAATGTCAGAACTGCTACATTAATGTGCTACTCCTCCTGTAACAATAGCCTGTAGTAGATACTTAATAAAAGTGTTTGTAGCAAACAACTACTCAACTTTTATAGTGTAGCTTGTCATGTAGTGTAATAATCAGTATCACATATATGCTACTAAGGAAAAATGTAGACAGTTTCACAGTTACAGTATTATGATGTGGCTTAAGGGAGTTCTGTAAAAAATACTTGCAGAAAATTAAACCAGGTGGTTTAGATGCAGAGTTCTCACATATCCAGTCCCTCATTAATAAAAATATTAAATAGATTTTTGTCCTGACAGTGTATTTAGTATAAATGTGCTCACCATAGCAAACGGGTTGTTTGCTGCCTTCTTTAGCAAGACAAAAGTCTCAGGTTTTGTTTCATTTTTAAACATTACTGAGTTGTTCTTTCCTCTTAGAGCTGCAGAAGTTCTGAGTGCCCTTGGTTCTCCACTCTGCATCATCATTCCCTAATGGAAATTACAGCAATCCTTGTTGTTCTTTCTTTAGTATCCATGTGTTTGGGTGGCTATCTACCCAGATTTCGCTTTCCAAAGAAACTATTTTTTCTAACTGTTCGCTTTTTTGCCTTGCCGATATGTTATGTTCTCAATTAAGGACTACACTTATATGTATGTAAAATATATTGAGCAATAGGATTTGTCCTAGCAAAAGTATCTTTTCTTTACTTGATATTACAAATTTCCATATACCATTAATATTTATTGCCCTGGACAAAAAGGGAGTTGGGAAGATGGTTGCGGAAAAATGCTTGGTGGTATGTAGCCTACTAAACTTCTGAACAGTCAGCTTTAAATTCATTGCAGTACTTCTTGGTGGTTTTAGTCCTCAAATATAAGGCAGGATGTTTTGGTGCGATTTTGAATAGAAACTTTTTCAGGTTTGTCGTATCTGCAGCGTTTGCGTTCAAACTCTGAAAGAACTTACCTGTGCAGTGAAGACTGAGCCTAAGAAGCCATTCTTTTAAGTAATGGGTGGTAATAATTGCTGGGTTGGAAGCTCCTATGGTTTTATTTCTCATGCAGACCTTTTTTTTTTTTTTTTTCCCCTTTCTTCCCTCCTTTATTTACATCAGGGATACGTTTGGTCCCGCATCTTATCAAAGTTCCAGCCACATAGAGGCCAAGCGACTTTTGTCTAGTTTGGACTTCAGTGAAGCTGAAGGAAAGGCTGAACTAGCAAGTCGTATGATATATGACAGAGATGAACGGGATCTACACAGCAGAGATTTTGAAAGCCCGGGTTCGTCTGCTGCGGATGAGACTGTTGTTAGGTATTTGAATGACCGACCAGCAATTGATGCCTTGCAGAATAATGAGGTATTTTTTAAAGTTGCGACACCTCCCAGATTGGAAGAAGAAAAAAATAGTGGTTCCAGAGATGAGAGTAGCGCTAAAACCCCTGTGAGAAATGCATCCCAGGACACTGAACTGAAGGGGTTTCAACTGGCAGCATCTTCCCCTTCTGCCACCAGCACCTCTAGTGCTCACAGACTGGAAATTTTGAAACGACGGCAGCATGATGCGAAATTGGAGAAGCTGAAGGAGCGAATTCGAAAGCAGTGGGAGCAATCTGAAGAGCTGGGTGGCAGAGGGCAGCATTTGGGATACGCTGAGCAACCCGTTGTCATCACAAATACAGAGAATGCAGTGACTCCCAAGGTCAGAAAAGTGGCAGCTGCACCTGCTGCTCCAGCATACAAAGGTACGGAGGTGCAGAATCTGCCTGCTAGTTACACGTGGAGAAGGAGCAGAGTTCACTTTGTTGAGCAATATGTCAGAATGTGCAAGTGACTTACAGAAGAGTTTGGGCAATACAGCAGTGGATAGGATTGTATGCTTGTAGAAATGCACAAGGAAGGGGAGAAATTCATGGTTTTTCAAAAGTATGAATTCCTTTGGAATTCTTCCTTTCCTTTCTCACAAATTACAATAAAAGGAATCTCTCTACCATTTGTATCTACTCCAATATGCTTTTTTCTTATGGTCCTAAAAGTTAGTAACTGTGTGTGTACCGGAAAATTGGCTTGCACTTGGTAATTCTTCCCTTCATCCAGTCTGGTCTTCAACTCTTGTCAGGCTGGTATAGTACTTTTTTTTCTGTTTTATTTTCACGAATTTAAGTAGTGTTTTTGCTCGTCAATTCTCTTCCTCACCCTGTGTCGTGTCCCCACCTCCCCAAAAAAAGCTTTCTGTATGTTTTGCAGAGTTATTTTAAACTCTTAAATGGTTTATTTTCAGGTTTCAATAAAAATGCTGAAACGAAGGTTCGCACTCCAGATGGAAAGGTCTGGCATGAAGAAGAATTTCGCATTAGCCAGGAGCTGTATAGAGATGTAGCACTACAGTTAGCAGGTGAGATAAAAGTCTGCATGGCTTAATAAATTTAGCTTGTATCTAAGATGCAGATAAATTTATTTGGTACAAATCCACAAAGTCACAGAAATAAAAAATAGAAGAGTTAATTATGTTTTACCCTCTGTCCTCAAGAGATGCAACTGGCTGAACACCAGAAAAAAATTCTCTCCCATTCATTAAAAAAAAAAAGTAATTAAAAATTAATTAAAGCAGTGCTTTAGTTGGGGACATATAGGTAGCTAATGCCACACATACTCTGGTGTTTAGCTGGATTGAGTATTGTGTTTCTTTCAGAGGGATTGGTGTACTCCAAGAAAGTGAGGTTTCTGTTTTACAGAGGTAATTAAGATTGCTGCAGCACAATTATTGTGTGACTTTGGGGAGGAGACAGGAAAAAATATTTTATGTGATGAGCTCCTTTAACAGCGTGGGTATTTTTGTTGCTTAGGACTGCAAGGCAAAGACCCCATCTTTAATCACTTTTCACTCTGGAAAACTGTACTATCACTGACAGCTCTTTTCTGTAGCTAACCTAGGGTTGGATGCCCAAGTGTGCTATTTATTTTGCTCGACTGGTTACGGTGAAGTGCTGTAAGATTGAATTGCTTTTGACTGACCGACTTGTGGGGAGGAGGAAGAGATCGGAGGAATACAAAGGAAGGGATTAGAAAATAACATTCTCTGAGGACCCCTAGCTTTGCAGTTTATGATGATGCTTATTATGTAGCAAAAATAACTCTCCTCATTTGGTCGAAACATATTTAAGACAAAAGTGAAACTTGGTGTGATGGTGTTTTCTTTGCATGTGGCTATTAACTGGTGTGGAAATGATCAGATGTCAGTTTTCCTTTGCTTGTACAGCTTGTCAAGGCACTGAGGAATTTTTCAGGAACCACTCAGAAGTTCAGAAAGGGCAGACACTTCCATTTCAATAAAATTGTTGTGCAGATATTCAACATCAGTCCATGCATTTATGCCACATTTCTCAAAATTTCTAATTTGCATCAGCATTTCTTTTTAGTTTTGACAAACTTAATGTGAATTATACATGAGCTCCGCATAGAAATCCAAACATGAGTCCAATTAAAAAGGCCTCTAGATTGTGTTTTCAGAGGACTTCTGTCAACAAAAGCAATGAGCGGTGTGGGTGCTCAGCCACGTGCCTATTCCCTTGCCCCTTGTAACAGCAGTGATGTTGTAACTAAAGTTATGGCAGTAACTGTTTTAAAGATACTTAGGACTGGCCTCTCCTAGAACAAAACTGCTATAATATGAATGGACTGAGGGGGAAGCAGCTTGTGGGTTCTTATGGTGTAGGGCCTGTTGGCCACTGCAAGAGGGGAAGAGACAGTTTAGATTCCTGCAGTCACTGAAGCCTCTGCTTCTTAGAGCCAGCGCGTCGAGTCCGTCTGCCTTGCGCTGCTTGGCAGGTGAAAGATGACTGGAAAAATTGTGGGGAAATAATGTAAAGAGCATAATGGACTCTTTAAAATGCCATTTCCATACCCCAGTGTCATCTTCTTGATAATTCCTCTGTGGACATCCATTAGGTGGGTTCAGCTGAAACTAGGGTGCGTAAACATCAGTACTGCTGCCTAAACAGCAAGGCTTCAAATCTGTCAACTTTGCTTTACCTGGCAGCTCTAAAGCCTAGTTGTATTGTAAGGGAGGGCTTCAGCGATACGGAAGAATTCTGCTTCGCTGGGCGCCTCTGGCACGAGTCTCACAGGGAGCGGAGAGCCCACGTCTTCGTGGAGGAGAAATGGGGGAGGCAGCAGCCCCTGTCTGAGGACTGAAGCAAGCGGGTGTCTTGGGGAGGGTCAATACTGGAAAATATAATGTCTTTAATACAGGAGAAAACTGTAAAGCTCTATTATGGCTGTTGTCTGTGGCCTTGCTATGTTCTGGTGAGCAGGTAAACAATACTTGCTTCAAAATGATCGTATTTTAATGTCTTAGAAGAAAAAATAAAGTGTATCTTATTTTTAAACCAAATTATTATGGGGTGGTATTATTTTGTATTTTTGAGCTTTAAAGCTCCAGGGAGGATTTTAAAATGCTTGACTCAAAGGTAATTGATCTCAATATCTGATCTGAGAGAATGAGTGATTTTTTTGTTGCATTTCTGAGCTCCACTTCAAGGTAAATGTTGAAGCAAGCTTGCCTTTACATGTTTGTTCTTTCCCATGGGGTATCACTTAACAGTTCTCATTTGTTTTTAGAGGATTCAACAGTGAAAGAAAAACCTAGTGAGAGAAACAGAGAGAAAAAAGCGACCAGACCAGTACGGAAAGTTCAAAAGCTGACACGATTGCCAAGTCCAGAATCCAGACAAGGTGACGAGCAGTACTCCTCTAGCGGGAAGGCTGTGTGTATGCTTCAGAGAGGAATTTGGTCTGAAGAAATGGCCGTGGGATTAAATGAAAATAATAGTGTTTTTGAATTCTTCTCAGATTCTTCACTAATGAAGAATTATTTTATTTTTCGCAGTTGTCTTAAATATCTACTCTATATTCAGTGTGGGAAGGTTACTGCAGAGCAGTGCTTTGTAGTAGAAAGTGAGACTATGACTGTACCATAGGATTCTCTGACTGCTCCTTAGTTGTTTAGTTGTGTAATCCTTTATATTGTGAGTAGTGAAAGAAATGGGAGGACTTCCACCTTCGTTTTGAATTTGCTTTCAGTTTTCAAATGGAGTAAGCAGTTAAGAGGGCAGTCACACTAGGGAGATTGTTTTTTTTTCTTTGAATACCTGCAAGGTATGTCAAGGTAGTCATGTCTTGCACCTTTAAAGGGCATATATTTCCTCTTATCTACAGTGATGCATAACTAGTAAATATCTAGTTCTGTTAAAGAAAACCTATAAGCAAAAAGGTGCTTTTAAAAACCAATAAATTATTACAAAGTTTTTGAGGGTAAGGTGAATGTTCATTTGTACATGCTGTAAGTACTGAAGCTGTGTGTAAATACCATGTTTTGGTATTTACATGGTATTTAAATACTGTGTTATGATGAGCTAGTACTTGAAACTGGTACTGAAAGTTTGGATTTGCTTCTTCTCATGCTGATCAATTAATAATGTTTAAGGAACGGCATTGAACTAGCTTTTAGAAGTTTTGTGTAATGAGAAAGGAGCACAGAGCCCGTTTCATGTTCTAATAGTGCTGGCTGTCTCTGCACCAGGGCACCAAATGCGAGGAGAATGATGCCCTGAAATCCCTGAAAGAGAAAAAAGCCGCAGGTCTGACGCAGGGGCTTGTCAGGGATGGTCCATCCTCCTCCAGCCGTAGCAGTAAGGAACTGCTCAACACAGCCAAGAGTATAAATAGCCACAGCTCATGTTCTGCTCCCTTAGCTTGTTTTAGTTCAAGCAGCTGACTTGAAATGGAAGAGGAGTTTTTCCACTGCCTTTTTGAAGGAGCACAGCGGTATCTGAGAACAGCGAGTTGGGCAAGAGAACCCGTTTGGCTGAGGCATCTTTCTGCAAAAGGGGATTGTAGTAGTGATGTGTTTCAAGTGAGATAATTGGAAAAAGTTTGGGTAGCTTACAGCGCAAGCAGAAAGTACTGGCAATAAATGGATGAATTAGTGGTTTTCAGGCTTCTTGGTGAATATTTTCCTTGCTCTGGTAAAGAAAAAGGAGGGGGAGAAGACTGAGGAGCTGGAATGTTAAAGCAGTGTTGGTCTCCTGTGCTGGATTCCTCTTCAGGTTGCTTTGATGCCATGTTTTCAAAGCCCTGTAGGGCCCTGGACTGCAGTCCTTTCTTGTTTCCTAGCTTCTGTGTTGTGTTCATGTAGTGTACGGGCTCGTCTGTTAAATGCTGGCAAACAGACACTGAAATTGAGAGGTTAGACATCAACTGGATGTATTCAAGCTTTTTTTTTAAGGGCAAAAAGTGATCTGAAATAGATAACTTATGCTTTATTTTTATGATGGTTTTTCTTCAAAGCACTTCCAGAAGAGTTTTTCAAAACATAATTAATAGTATTGGAAGGCAATGAGGAAAAAGTGAGTTTAGTTGAGTTGAGTGTTTAACCTACCGGTGTTTGGTAAAGATGCCATTGTGCCAGTTTTCATCATTTAGTTTCATGTAGAATGATAAAACGATACTGCAGGGCAGCCTGCTCTTGATTTAAATATTGGCCGGTAGGGTGATAGCTCAGCTTTTTTGGTTGCTTGTTTGTTTTTTGTTTTGTTTTCTGGGTGCAGAAATCCCGATTAGAGGACGCTGCACTAGTGTTCCTTAGAACAATTGCTGCTTGGTATTTGTTACATCCTCATGAGACCCCCATCTTTAAGACTGTCTCTTTGAAGTTCTTTCTAGAAACTTGGCTGGCATTCTCTGAATGCAAAGATGAATCTTTCTTTATGCCCCACCTTTGCTTTCGTTCTTAGTATCTTGACGTTTTCTTGTGGTGATAGAGCTGCTTTTCAATAATCTATAAATATTTCCCTTCTCCATCCAGTAACAACCTATTAATTTTAGACTTATATAAGCCTTTTGTTTCCTTCAGGTTTTGTATGGCATTATTGGGCTACAAGATATTTTGCATTTTTACACTGCATTGTGTGTGGGCCTGAAGCGCGTTTCATGCTTGTATGATTCAGCGTGGAGCATCTTCATGGTGCGTCACTGCTGCGTCACTGCTCTGCGTGCCTGCAGCTGTACCACTTGTGCAGAGCTAAACTGTGGCCCTTGCTATAGTTAGCAATGGGTAATGATTGTAATACATATTTAACTTCTTTTCTATACCCCTCTAGCTCTTCACTTTTTTTTTGCAGGTGGTAACTATGTAATAAGTGCATCTTCCTGGCGGGAAGGACAAAAGCTGGTAAAAAAGATACTGGGTCCAGCCCCTCGAATAGAACAGGACAGAAGAGCTATATCTAGTGACAGAGCGGGACGAGAGAGAGCTACAAAGTCTGGTAAGTCCTACTTTATCACTGCACTTGTTTTTTTCAGTTTCTTGTGTAAATGTGCATGTTTGTAAAGTTAAGCTTACTCCTTAGAATGTAATCCATGTTTTTATTTTGTAACTCTGTTTATTAACATTTCTTTTTTGGGGGAGGGTAGCAAGAGAGCAGGGGGCAAAGGGATGTTACTTAAGTTTATAGTTGTGATCCATAATCTTTCTGCCTGCATTGATTCTGAAACTTTTTTGAGTCTCATGGGAAGTCTGCCCTGCCCAACTTGACAGATGATACATGCACATGCTACTATGCAGGTGCTCAAGAACTCAGGAAAAGTTTGGAAACAGGTTTGGAAAAGAATGGATTGCGTGCAGTCTGAGTTTGCACCTTGAGGCTAGTGGAAAAAGGAACATCTTATAGACGTTGGTCCAGTAGCCATATGAATTTTGCAGATGTGCTTCATATGTTATGTTACACATATTTTTCGTATAGTATTGTGCTAATTGAGTTAAAAAGTTGAAAGTATCTGTCTGAGGCTGTTTATCTAAAGGTTTGTGCAGTTATATGCAGAATTAAATCTGGTAATTGTTTATCTAAAGGTTTACCAGATTTAATTCTGCATATAACTGTGTAAAGTTTTCATATGTAGTAAATATGCAGCTGTGTTTTAACAAAGGTGTCTTTTATTTATTTATTTATTTTACTGTATTTATCAATCTCCATCACGACTGCAGCCTTTTCGACAGTTTCTCATCACTAGTATGTATCTCACCACTCTTCCATCCTAATTTTTGCAGCTCTCTCAGTATGACGTGTAGTTTCCAAATTTGATTTTTACTGGAAATATTTGACCCACCTTATTTTTTTTAATAGGCCGTATTGGAAGGACAGGTTCAGACTCTAGGCTGGATGTTACCCATAAAACCTCTTCCAGAAGTTCTGAAAGGTCGAGGAGTAAAGTGCGGTCTGAGACTAGTCTGAAGAAACGGGAATCCACTCGTCTGGATGGTAACCGAGGGGATCACACTTCCTTAAATAAGGACTTTCTGCCAGTGGAGATCCGTGGAATTCTTGATGACCTCCAGTTGGATTCCATGAGTACAAAGCAAGAGAAGGATGTGGAAAAGCAGAATCAGAAATGTGTTTTGCCTGCACAAAATGCCAGGAGCCACAGTCCAACCAAACGGAAACCGGACAAACTAGCTCCCAGTGAGGAGCCGCAGGTGATCTCCAAGAAACGTCACTACGACACGGATGAGGTTCGTCAGTACATCATTAGGCAGCAAGAGGAGAGGAAGAAGAAGCAGAATGAAGAGAAGAAAGCACAAAAAGAGGCAACAGAACAGAAAAACAAAAGACTCCAAGAGCTCTACAGAAAGCAGAAGGAGGCTTTTACTAAAGTAAAGAATGTGCCACCTCGTGAGCCTTCTGCAGCCAAACGGTTACAGGAGACTTATTCTAAGCTGCTGCTGGAGCGGACGTTTTTGGAACAGCCAGCTCAGGTGCTCACAGTGCAGGAAATGCAGGTACAGCTGATGCCTGTGTGGCAGCTGTTTGCATGGGAGTCATGTTTAGGAAGGTTGTGATTTGTCCTGATGCAGTCAAGAGAAAGGGTGTAAAGCAGGCTCTGAAAGTAGCTTTTGCTTATAAGATGCAGTGGCATTAGTCCAAACTTCCTGCTAGTGACTGCTGCTCAGCACAGCACTGCCTGACGGGAATGTGAATGGAAATCATCTTTCTATTATAAATAGAAGCAGAGCTATTATAAATAGGAACAGAGCTCAGAATATTAACTAACAACCAGCTGTAGTGGTTGGTTGGTCCTTAAGAAATTGTAAATTTAAGTCAGACCATGAATTAAAGGGCTTTGAATTAAAGATTACTGTCAGTCAGTGGCCATGCCGGATCAGCAGTGAGTTAAGTAATTTTGCTAGTCAGAAACCAAGTGTTAAAGAAGATTGATATCATTTTGATGTGTTCAGTTGGACCAGCTCAGTGTACAAGCAAGGTTGAATCTGCCTTGTGTTTTAAGTCTGTGTGTGGTAGGATGTGATAGTAGGTAGTTATAGTGAGACATGAGCTTCTAAAACTCCTACAGACTTTTGGAAATGTATTCTTCTTTGTACCTCCATATCCAGCCCCGACCTGGTTATCAACCCTCTGGGGAATCCGACAAAGAAAACAAGGCTCAGGAGCGTCCTCCCAGTGCGTCCTCAAGTAGTGACATGTCACTGTCAGAGCCTCAGCAGCCGCTACTGAGGTGAGCACTTATGGGCCTCTGGAGAAGGGGGGAAATAGTGCAACTAGACTCTTAGGTTCATATACTATATAATTGTCTTTATGGCAATTATATTGCTTTTCTCGATAAGGAGGAACCTGATGCAAGAAAGTGTATGCAAATGTAGGTTGCTGATATTTAATGAGTCTATGAAGTGTATGATTGTTACTATTTGTTGACATCAGAGATGTGCATTTCGTATCGGGAGACTATATTTCCTTTGCCGTTGCCAGCAGGCAATAGCAACTGCTCATGTAAATGTCTGTCAGTTTTTCTTTCTTGATTTTTTTCATTTTTTTCCATCTCATCTCCTAGCTTGGGTCAGGCCTCTAACTACTACCAAATACCCATGCTTTTGCTTCAGCTACCCTTTGTCTATTCCCATCTTACTACTTATTCCATTCTTAATTGTCCAGTGTCTCATCAGAGTATCTCTTACTGTAAGCTGGTGTGCATAGACAAACACTTCATGAAAATAATAATCATAGGTTTTCTTGCATACCCTTAATTGTCATATGTGCATATGTGTGGTCATTTTTAATGCCATAATCAAATCAGTATCATTTTTGGTTATTCTTATTTAGGCAAATCAAAACTGACTTTCCAAACTCAGCAAGACCTCTTTCTATTCTGGAAAAGTTCAGCTAGGAAGATTATCTAGAATTATGTGCAACGTAAGCTGCTAAACCATAATATGCTAAGTATTGTTAGCTTAACATCATAAGGTAAAAATAAGTGTAGCTAGAAAGAGTAGGGAAGAGCTGAGATTTAAGTAGGGTACCATACATTATTTGGAAAGCCTCACAGTAAATAGAAAAGAAGGGTTTGCAGGGAATATTGCAGGTTTTTTGTTAGTCGGATGCTATGCAAGTGATATTAGCAAAGGAAGCTCCAAGTGGGCATCTCTGGAAGAGCTATCCATTTACAGAGCTTCTCTTATGGTAATTGGAGCTATCTGTAAATAAGAAGGTTGTCTTGCAGTGTTTTAAAACATGCTTGTATTTCTAATTCTCCCTTCCTCTAACTGTGCTTGGTGGCTGCCTTAGTAGTAGCTGCAGTGAGATATGGTCTGAGTACAAGTAGAGGGGACATTCTGTGGCTTAGAAATCTGAAGGGGAGAAGGGGGATGTCTCCTTGCTTTTGAAGTCAGGAAACTTGTAGGAAAAAAAGTTTTTTGCTGCTGATCAAGAATATTCAGCTTGTTACCGCTCTACATCACACCATGTATTGTAAACAGCCTTTCAACTTTGGACTTGCTCTGTCTTTTATAATACTTGTCTTTAACATTCTGCACTCTCTTGGTCCCCCTGCTAAAATAATTCTTTCTAGAAAATAAGCTCATGGTAATAAGGTGTTTGCCTAAAATAACAGTACTTGTAAATCACCAACTTAAACATTGACTTTTCATTTCAGAAGTGATTTGATGGAGCCTGCATGGGTGCAGCCTGACAGGTTGAGCCCAAGAGCCCAGCTCTCTCGCTCTCAAGCTCATGCGGGTTCGAACGGAGGCCCTTGCTTTCAAAACTGGAGTCTGGAGCAAATGGGCCTTTTGTCGAAGGAGTGTGACACCGTGTTGGCAGGCAGGAGGAACCACGCCGCAGCTGTGGGATCACTCACTTTGCCATCACAGCCGTACCTGAATTCATCTGTTGCACAGCAAAATCTCTCAGTAAAATCTACTGCTAACCAATATAAGAGCAAATTAGATCGCATTGAAGCTCTGAAAGCTACAGCTGCTTCCCTTTCTAGCAGGATTGAAAGTGAAGCCAAAAAGTTGGCTGGAGCTGGCATCAATTATGGCACCATGTGGAGCTTGGACCATGAATTCCTACAAGAAAACCAGGATGATGGGCGCTGGGCAAAGGCTGTGAGTCCTCCTGTGAGAGAGGAAAATGAAGATGCTTTTTCAGCCAGAATTCAAAAAATGCTGGGTACCTGTGTATCTCATACAGCCTTTGATGATAACCTACCTGGGGTAGGCAACCTTAGTGAATTTAAAAAGCTTCCTGAGATTATCAGGCCTCATACTGCTGCAGTCAGCCTTGGGATGAGATCCCCTGCTGCTAATAGACACGAAGGAATACTGGGACATTTATCCAAGAGACAAACTGACTCCCCAGGGCACGAAAGCCAAGGTTATGGTCAGAACAAAGCAGTAATTCCTTACGAGTCCAGCATAGACTCCATCAGTGAAGGGCCACTATTGAGTGAGGAAAGCCTCTCAGAAGAGGAGGGAGGCCAACACAAGCAATCACCCCTGGAGATGCTGGATGTGTTAAAGGAGGAGGACTTCTGTGTTCGAGAGAGAAATGCTTTTGAGCCCATTAAAGAGTTTCAGAAAGAAGCAGAAAAATATTCACCACTTTTCACTCAGACAAGTGGCTTGCACAGCAAGGGACCGTGGGAGGAGCTGGCGAAGGGAAGTCCACACAGTGTCATCAACATTTTTGCAAAAAGTTATCAGCTTCATGGGAAAGGTAAGGAGAAGAAATGGTGGCGGGAGAATTACAGGTGGAGGATGAACCTGTATAAGGCTTCCTCATATAGCTTTTGAATAATGAATGATTTTTTTCTACTTTTTTTCTAAAAAGAAAATCCCCTCTTTTGGGGGAAGATTATTTTTATGTTGCTATATATAATTCCAGATTGGTAGCTGCCCCATACCTTGGACAATATTAATGATAAGATGGAATCAGTAGACCTGGGCCAGTTCCATACCTGTGATACATCTAGAATAACAAATCATTCAATGCATATTAAATATATTAAGCTGACCTGCAGTTACACAGATGTGAATGCAGAGTTTGTAATTATCTTATCCAAAATTGTATACTAAATTGCCCAGATTGGGTTTACCTTAAATATATTAAGCTGACCTATTAAATATATTAAGCTGTCTGTTACACAGATGTGAATCCAGAGTTTGCAATTATCTTATCCAAAACTGTATACTAAATTGCCCAGATTGGGTTTGAAAATTGGTGTTTTTGTGATGCCTAGCTTCACCATATGATTTCGTTTGTAGAAATCTGCCAAAATTTTGTGTCATAAGTCACTTAACTGAGTCTCTTCCCATTCTGTTTACCTCAACTCTGTACAAATATCATCCTTTTATTATTTTTTTTCTCACTCTAGCACATTTCAGACCATCTTTCTAGGCTTGTAAGTGTTTAAAGAAATACCCAAAAGACCCTTTCAGTGAGAAGATGTAGTCCTGCCATTTTTGGCTTTCAGTTTCTTTATTGTTGTGGGTATAAATGGAACCACCAGGGAGCTTCCATCTTCCTATTGTATGTGAATTCCCAATCATCTGTAATAACATCCCATCTTGTTTTTTTCATTTAAGGCAGAAAGATGAAATTCATGTTTTATGCAGCATTTATTTCGTGTCAAAGTTCAGCGTGTGTATCCTGAATCTCTTTACACATAGACGTGTAACGCAGCAACATGTAACTTTTGCTGTGGCTGGGAGCTGAGTGCTTTGCTTTTGCATTTTTGTTCATATGAGTTATTTGATAATGCCTCTGTAAACAATGTGACATGTTCACTCCTTGTGAACTTCCATAGCTTCAGTAGCTATTTAGTTTTGAGAAGATAAGGTTTTCGTAAGTCAATTGGAAATATTTTTTCCTTCCATGAACACATTTCAAGCATTCATTGCTCATTTTAATATCTTAGGGCATGTTTTACAGAAGTCTGATGCAGGATGCTTTGTTTGCTTTTCTTTTTTGTTCAAAATTATTTCATTTTGAGTACTGTTTCTCTTGCCTTGAATTCCTGATTTTGAAAAGGAGTCTTTTTCAAAAAGTTAATTTATCTCACATTGGGTTGGGTTGAGGTTGGGCTTCCTGTGTTCATGCTATTAATTATTTTACTTTTTTTGTGTCTCTTAAAGGTGACTGCATTTGCATTTTCTGCGATGGCTCTACTCTCAAGTGCCATGCAGTTCAAAGATGTGTTAGTTAATGAAGTAGCCTTTGTTATTTTACGGATGAGGAAGACTGTGCTTGTTATTCTGTGTTAAAACTGGCATAGGGTGTCTGTATTGATATTTTGCTGATGTTTTTATTTTAAAAAATCTTTTCAACGCAGTGTGGTTTGAAAATCTTTTATTTCTAAAGCTTTACTATCTGTTTGATGCAAATTGCACCTGATATCTTTTTTTTTTTTTTTTGTCTTTTCCCTCTCTTTGCCCACATTGCAGTGTTTGATGAAAGGCCGAGTGGAGCGGCTGCCCTGCTGCGGCCTTTGCTCCCTGCTGCCAGCCCTCCAGAGAGCATCGTTTCTTACGAAGATGACTTTGCCTCGTCGCAGGGAAGCAGCACTTTGACAGACAAAAAGATTGCACGTGACCTCAGGTACCTGTGTTTTAGCCTCCTTACAGAAATCAGCAAGCAGCATTTCTGAGAGAATTAATGCAATGCTTGTTTCCTTTGTGTCAGATGAGTTTTCTGTTATGTTGTGTCATACTGATGACCCTTACTGTATCAAGCAGCATGGCTTTGAAACAAAGGCTGCAGTCAAGTACTCTTGATATGTGCCTGGCAGGAAGCTTTGTAATCAGGTGAAAATCGCTTCCCCAACCTTTGTAGCTGTTAAGATTCTCAATTGGTTAATCTTTGCAAAATTGTGAAAGAAATAAGATCTGTAACTGCTAAAATAATAACTTCAGTACTGAATAGATTGTAAAAACTCTACAATTGTTTTTAGGATTTCAGTAAATGCTTCAGAATGGGCATGTAAAGTTTATGTAAGCAGTTTTTAAACTAAGACCACCATAAATCCTACAGTTCCTAATTCATTAGTGGTTTATTAACTTTTTAAAACTACATTTTTGCATAAGATACCTTTCCATGTTTTGCATGTGTTGGAAGGAATATAGCCAGAGGTATTGCATTTGTTTTATATTTTTACTTCAGAAGGAAGGAAGGTAAGAAATAGTCTTGTATGTTGAAAACAGCTGCAAAAAATTGCTTTCTTTCTGGCTAAGCTTCTTTATTGATCTTTGTTGGTGTTATTCCAGATATAATGCATTACCCGTACTCCTTTTTTGCAATTATTTTAGAATCCTTTATTGAAAACTATTCATCTTTCAGTTTATTGGTGTTATCAGATGTCCATAGCCTATCTTAAAAAAAAAAAAAAAAAAAAAGTAAATGGTTTTCAGAGTCATTATGGTTTAGTCCAAGTCTGTAATCAAATAACCATTAGTTTGCATCTGAAAGGATGTTTATTATCTATTTCCTATTACCTTATAAGAAGTACATTTCAGTATGTTGAATTTTTTGTCAAAACTCTTAATGTTTTTACTTGTCATCGTGTTTAATTTCAAAATCAATGATTTTGGTGATGGCTTTATAATAAGGCTTATGTTATTTAGCATAGCTGTAGTCATCCATGTCTCTTAGCACTCAAGAAATCCATCAAAACTATGTGATGGAAGTTGGACATCTTTAGTTAATCACTCTTCATATATTGCTTTTTAGCATTGCTGGCAGCAGCAATTCGAGCATTCAGGAAGAACTTTCCAGTAGGAAGTCTCCCCATAAGCCTCGCTCTGTAGAACTTGCATCCCAACATTCATCGGGACCGCGGTCTGCAGCATCTTCTCGCTCATCTGCCTCCTCTAAAAGGAGAGGGAAAAAGAAACGTAAGTGCAATACTTGATTTTTTGAAGAATGTTTTAGGGTTTTTTATCATGGTAGTTGCAGTCTTTCTGCTTATCCAGAAACTATAATCTAACACTGATGGAAGAATTTTTTTTTCCTCTTTAAAGCTCTTTGAAAAATGTCTGTCACTTCACATATAAAAGGAAGGAGCAAACATGTCTGTAGCAGTTGTTCTCTGATTGTGTAAGCTGTTTAGTTTCTCCAGTCAGTGTTGCAGCCAAGTGAATACTACAGGGCAGGGCAGTTTGTGATGAAAAGAGCACTTGTGATGATGTTGTGTGGGTTCTGGTGAACATTCAAGTGAATGTGAGTCACCTGTGTGCCCTTGTAGGGACGACGACTAACTTTATGTTGGGCTGCATTAGAAGCTGCCCCCTTGAAGTGATCCCTTTCTCCTCAGCACTGGTGAGGCCACATCTTGAGCCGTGTTTGGTTTTGGGCTCCCCAGTAAGAAAACAAGATTGACCCCTAGAGGTCAGTGTTGCGTCGAATCTTGTTCAACTTGTGACCTGGATCATACAATCACAGAATGCTTAAGGTTGGAAGGGACCTCTAGAGGTCATCTAGTCCAACCCCCGTGCACACGCAGGGTCACCTAGAGCACGTGGCACAGGACTGCGTCCAAACGGGTTTTGAAGATCTCCAGAGAAGGAG